TAGTGTTTTCAGAGAATCCAAGTGAGATGCCCGTCTCCCACTGACTTCCAGTGAAGTCCTCACCTCTGCTCTGCTTCACGCACACACGCGCAACCAGCAAACACACACACAGCCCAAGATACCACCACAACACACACTCACACCTCATGAGTCTCTGAAAGTGCCAGCTCAGGTGGGAGATGCAACAAGACTCCGCACTAAGCAAGTTCACAAAAGAGAGGACAACTGGGTGAGCTGGTAAGAAACTGGAGCTCTGAATAATAGCTCTCAGAGCAAACAGTTCAGATCAAACTGAGCCAGTTTGTCACACGTGCTACAACTAGCTCATATTTGGTCTCTATGGAAACCCAAAGTCCTCTCACAGATAGGGAAGAAATATGGTTTTTTATGTTACATATGTAACTAAATATATAACACACACACATATGAACAGCCCCATTTTGTATACATGCACATTTTGTATCTGTATCAGTCATCTTTTTTGTTACATTATACGTGAGTTGTCAGGAAGACAGAAATGTTTCACAGGGTACATCTACCTTGCCTGGGGAAGGAAGAGTCAGATGAGACTGCAAGATGCTCGACTTCCTTTGAAAGAAAGTGAGCACAGCATTGGGGAAAAGAGAAAGAGGAAATCAAAGCATCTTTGTGTACTCCAGACTAAGGACAAAATACACCTCACTTGCACTCTCGCAGACAAGACTCAGCAGTTTATGGAAAGGCAGTAGAAAGAAAAGGCAAAGGTCTCCAAGCAGAAACTGCTCAGAAGATTCCTTGGCATCTAATGGCCTTCTGACAAAACTCTGGTACAACTGGAGAATGAGCACCCGATCTGGAAGATACAGCGTAGAGATGAGGTCTTTCTGAGCCAGCCCTCGGCTACCACAACCAAGAGACCTCTTAGAGCCAGACTGTACACTGTTACATTTTAATCCTGTGCTTCATTAGACATACGGCTTTCTTTTGTAACTGCATTTCAAGTTTTGAAGATTTCTGTCTTCCCCAAAGGTAGCAGATTCAAATAAAGCAATGTCGCCACCCTATATTTAGTAAACCAAAACACACCGGATATCTTCCGCCAAGCTACAGGGCTCAGTTGAGTCACCAAACGCCTAGGAAAATGAAGTCGTCCTTTTTGGAATGCATTTCTGGTAAGAGGGAGGTCACGGAGAAGCAACACGTGAGTTCAGAAAAATCCAGCATTCCCAGATCCCCCTGGAGTCAGGCGACTCCTCACCGACTCCCACAAATCACTATTTATGGAAATGGTTGGTAGACCTCATGAAATGTTCAAAGACGGCCAAGAGCAGAGCTCATGGTTTCTGCAGGCCCCTCAAATACCTCATACGTATCAGATCTTAAAAAGCTGCGTGAAAGAAGCTGTCAAGTTCAGTATTGGATTTGATTTAGGATCCTTCCGGCCCAGTATATCAGGTGAGGGTGTTCTCCCGGACAGTAAAAGGAAAGGGAAGAAAATCAAAAAAGGTCTTTGCCATATTCACTTCAGGCATACAAGAAAAGAAACATTTTCACCATCTCCATCTCTGCCCTGTAGCCTTAGAAGGGCCCTGATGCTGTGACCCCAGGAAGGGGGCTCAGTGCTGACTACATGTTAGCGGAGCTAGTCAGGCTGCCATATGGTTACCTCCTCCCGAGCAAGAGGAGCTACCACTGCTGCCACGACTTAACATCAGCGATGCACTCAAAGGCTAAAAGGGGAGAGGACACAGGCAAGCAAAACAACTGAGTGAGGATGGGGGCAAACCTCCCTCCTAATGTGCCCAAGCCCGACCAATTCCAGGAAAGGTACTGTAATCCAGCCTCCAGGGCTAGCCACCACCAGCTCCTTGGGCTGCAGCTATCCTCAAAGTTTATATGTCAGTGTCTGTTGTGGTTAGGATTTTAGTGATGTGGATGCTTGGCCATGAAGTAGAGAGAAATCACTGA